AATTTGGGCCCAAGGCAATTGCTTTATTAACTGAACTGTCGATGGGGAGGAGAGAGAGACGCACACCCACAGGGTGGGGAGAGAGAGTGGCAGATACACTGAGTGGAGGGGGAGAGAGAAAACTAGTAAGAGGGAGAGACTGAGGAGGAGGGAAAAAGAGGCAAATGGGGGAGAGAGAGATGGAATATAGGGGAGTAGTTGATTGTGAATAGCTCTGGTTATTCTCACACTCCGCAAGCACATCTCACGCAGTTGCTCAGAAATATGTGCATGTGTGCTTTATTAAAAAAATCATTTTTGTCTGGTTAAAGGCAAACCTGGGACGCTGCCACTTCCCTCCTTATTGAACTGTTGCAGTCATTGTGTGAAAAATAATCCACTTGGTTTGAAATCCGATCGAATCTGTTCCGCTTTGATTGCAGCTTTTCTGAGTGAAAGGAGTTGCCTGTTGCACAAGTATGGGAATGGCTTAGGCAGTCTCTATGGTTAAGTTGTGTGACGAATGAGCACTGAGGTATGCTCTGTACTTCCTCTCATCCCCTCCCCCTCCCCCACCTGATGCTGTGCATCTGCTGTTTGTTCATGTTGCAGATTGGCAGCTCTGAGATATTGGGCACTGGTTTTGCCCTTCCTTGTTCTCCATAAGCTCCAGCTTGTACTGCATATCGTCTCCCACACTGTGCTCCAGAGCCATCATCCTTCCAGCCAGCTCACAGCAGGCTCCCAATCCCCCTTGGTGTAACCCCTCTGTATCCATGCAATCTTCAGTCCTTGCCCTTTGTTATTCCAAATTTCACCTACTGTTCGCTTCCCTTCACTCTGCCGTTGGTGGCTGAGATTTCAGCCACTGCACGTCTGTTCCTTGAAACTCCGTTCCCTTTCCATCTTGGAGTCTGGAAGTCCACCACCTGCTCCTTCGACCCATCCCCACCCCTCTCCTTAAATCCTAGCTCCACCTCCTTGCCCCACTACTTGCCAACATCATTAACCTCCCCATGTCATCTGGCACTGTTCCTTCCCCCCTCAAAACAGCCACTATCACCCCCACCTTGAAAAAACCTTCCCTCAACCCATCACAGCTATACAGCTACCGGCCCATCTCAAATCTCCCTTTCCTATCCAAGATCCTTGAGAGAGCCGTTGCCTCCCAGCTTCGCTCTTTCCTCTCCTCTCACTCCCTCCATGAACCCCTCCAATCGGGTTTCCGTGCTGTCCATAGCACGGAAACTGCTCTGGTCAAGGTCACAAACGACATGTGTGACCAGGGCTCCTCTGCCTCCTTGTCCTCCTCGACTTCTCCGTTGTCTTTGACACCGTGGACCACTCAATCCTCCTCCACCGCCTCTCCTCCCACCTCAACCTTCAAGGTTCTGTCCTTGACTGGTTCAGGTCCTACCTTTCACACCGCCTCCACTTTGTCATGGCAAACAGCTTCTCCTCCATCCCCGCACCGTCTCGTGCAGTGTTCCTCAGGGCTCTGTCCTCGGTCCTCTCCTCTTCACCCTCCACATGCTCCCTCTTGGTAACATTATCCACAGACATGGGGTAAATTTCCAACTCTACCTCTCTGTCTCCACCCTGAACTCCACTCAACTGAAGTCCTGACCGACTGCCTGTCCGACATCAAGTCCTGGACGAGGGCCAACTTTCTCCAACTCAACGTCAGCAAGACCGAGGTCCTTCTGATTGGCTCGCGCCAGCACCTCCGCACCTCAGCATCAGCCTCCAAGGCTGCACACTCAACCTCACTAAGCCAGTCAGGAACCTGGGTGTCTTGTTTGACCCTGAACTGTCCTTTCTCTCCCACATCCGCACCATGAACGGGCACTGCCTACCACCACCTCCGCAACATTGCCAGACTCCGCCACTGTCTCACCCCTCAGGCTGCTGAAACCCTCACCCACGCATTCGTCACCTCAAGGCTCGATTACGGGAACTCCCTCCTCATCGGCCTTCCCAACTCTTCCCTTCACAAGTGCAGATCATCCAAAACTCTGCAGCTTGTGTACTCTCGCGCACCAGCCTCCGTGACCCCATCACTCCCACCCTCGCACGACTCCACTGGCTCCCCATCCCCCAGAGGATCGAGTTCAAGATCACCTATAAGGCCATCCATGGCCTTGCCCCCTCCTACCTCTCTGGCCTGCTGACTCCTTCCGTTCATCGGGCTCCGGCCTGCTCCATATCTCCCGCACAACCATCAGTGGCCGGGCTTTCAGCCTCTCTGCCCCCACACTCTGGAACTCCATCCCACGGTCCTTTCGCCTCGCTTCCTCCCTCGCAACCTTCAAGGCCGGTCTCAAGACCCTTCTCTTCGACCGTGCCTTTGATCTCCCTCCCATCTCTCTGCCTTCCCTCACCCCTATACCACCCCTCCCCCAATGCTCTTGCCCCGACAGCTGACTGTTCAGCGCTTTGGGACGTCCTCCCGACATGGAAGGCGCTCAATAAATGTAATTTTGTTGTTGTTGGAATCCTATAGCATATTGGTTAGAGCACTCACCTTGCAAGCGAGAGGACCCAGGTTCGATTCCCGGGCAGGGAGTTTCGCCCACAAAATATACAGTCAGTTCAATTTACGGTATGTTCTGTAAAGCACTTTGAGATGTCTGAACAATAAGATAAGGCACTATATCCAATGCAAGTATTATTATTTATTATCTTTCTACCCTCTCCCTGCCTTCAAAAGCCTCCTTTAAAATATTCTGTAATTTCCATGATTCTAAAAAGTTCTTTCTGATAAAATAATCCTGAATTAATTTAAGAGAATGTTAATCTTCCGTCACTGGTAATGTCTGGCCTCAGCCACTGGCCGCAGCAGCTCCTCATGCTGTGAAGGCGTGAGAATGTTACTCTGGAACTGCAGACTTGTGCAAATGACCTGGGCAACAAAGTGCCTTGTTTCATCCTGTGTCCATAATCTGGAAAGGGTAAATATTTAAGCGAAGTGTCTGACAATAGCAGTCAGAGGAGACCACTTAGGTTTGGTGGATCACACGCCTGGAGTTCGATTTCTTCCACCTCTCTCTCTTTCTTTTATCACCCCTCTTTCTTCCCCATTTCCCTCCTCTCTCCCTCCCCATCCCTCGCTCTCTTTCCCCCACCCCTCTGTGTGTGTCTCCCTCGCCTCTGTCTATCTGTCTGTCTATCACTCTACAACAACAACAAAATTACATTATATTCCCCCTTCTGTTTGTAAGTGTATCTATCTCTCTCTCCCACCCCCTCCCCTGTCTTGTAAACTCCCAAACTTTACCGGAGTCGTCCATCTATCATGATTGGATAAAGTGTGGGCTTTTATAAGTACTTTCAGGATAGCTCTTTATGGTCTGATTTTAACTGTAACTTCTGGTCATTTACTATCGACACCAGTTTCTAACTTTAATAACTTGCTTGGTGAGGGGAAGCTGATGTATGGTGCGAAAATGGCAGTGGATGAAAGTTGCTCACATTGTTTGTGTGAATATTGGGACACTTGAATCTCAGCAACAACTTAATAATAATAATCCTTGCATTTGATATAGCGCCTTGTCACGTAGTTGAGATCTCAAAGCACTTCACAGAATATACTATAAAGTGAATTGACGATATATTTTGTGGGTGAAACATGGCAGCGAATTGCGTATTGCAGTGTCCAACAAACAGTCGTGGATTGAGTGACCAAATTATTATTTTTAAAAAAAATTATGCTTACGTAGCACCTTTCACGAAGGAGAAAACCTTTTTCAGACCTCAAGGAGTGAGAAGCTGAACAAGATAGAAGATTGGGGGGGAGAGGTTTAGTTTAGGCCAAAGGTGGCTGAAGATGTAGTTGGAGGCTTTTACACAGGTTTTTAAAGTCGAAAGAGGGAAGGAAGCTCATTATCAAAGGCTTTTTATTTAGTTCTGAAGGCTCAAGGCTACAATTTTGAGCAATATTAATTTGGCTGCTCTGTCCTTATTAAAAGTTGACTTATTTCATGTGAAGTGCACTGGAGAGGGGAGAGAGGAGAGATTTAATTTACTGAAGCGGTGGTGGCTGGTTTCTCTCATCACTCCCAAGGGTTGTTGGTTCTCAGTTAAGAATATGGAAATTGAGTCGCAGAATTGGGCAGGGAGCCAGTGCCTGTCTGCGTGACTCAGCTTCTGAAGTGCGAGGTACTCCAGTGTTTCCTGAGGCCTGAGAGCAATCGGAAACTGCACTCGTGCCTGGGCTCTACTCTGTGGATTGCAGGCACTAACTGCTTGCATTTGCTGAGCAGGTAGAGTCAGCTAAGACCTCTCAGCCTTAAGACCATTGTCTTCAAATGTAACATGCTGGGGCAAGGAGTCCTCCCACTCAGCTCCTGCTAACACTGCAAGCGAAAGCCCTAAAATATAAGGTGGCCCTAGCAGGACAAGCAGTGCGAAAGCTTGCCAGGCAGTGATGACAATGCCAAGCAATGCATTGAATGTGCATTGGGGTTCTTAAGCCTTGGCTCTTGCCTACCTGCGCCTAATACTTTCCAGAATTAGGTAAGCAGGATGCATCCCTCCAGGGAGAGAGCGCACATTCCATTACAACAATCTGTCTCTGGAGTTTCCATGTGTACGTGGGATGCATGGAATTCTGTTTGGTTTCAATACTCTTAAGGATGGTGAAGGGTTTCCACATGTGTCCATTTAGGATTACCTTACCCATTAGGGCTTTGGCTTGCAGGGTTAACAGGAGCTGAGTGGGAGGATTCCAGCTAAAAGTTTACCAGAAAGTGTGGTGAGGCCAGGACACCTGACTGGTTTAAGAAATTGCTTGATGTTATTGTGGGAAAATGTAAGGTAGGTTATTATGGAAGGGCGAGATCAAATGGACCAGATGCCACAGCGAGTTACCATCTCAATTACCTGAAATCAATTCTCCCACAACGGATGCATTTATCCCTTTTCATGTAAATTATCTGTGAATAAAGAACTACAGGTTGTGTGTGTGCTCCCGTTTCAATTCTTTAATAAATCTCATTGATGGTTTGGCTTTACAGATTGCCTGAGTGTCCACCTCACAGAGACCCTGAGAGCAAGACTGCTCCCATTGCGTCCTTGAATGTTTCTTAACTCTTCAGTTAGCAGGACGGGCGATTAACCCTCAGCACAGCCAAAAGGTAAACATTTAAAAAAACTTGTGAGAATTTTGTTTCTCTGGGGTGACTGCTTTAACTGCAAGAAGTGAAATTCAAGCCTTGTCTGATGTTGCTAATTGGGAGGATAACCATTGTGGCAAATACTTAATCTGCCAGAGGCTTGGGAATGAAATCTGAGGCTGTTTTTTAAAAAAAACTAGTCCATTTCCCCCTCCACTCCTCTTTCCTCTCCTCAAAGTAGATATTCACTGTTGAATGTAGTGACTGTACATTATTTACAGTAAACCTCACAAGTCGTATACGTTGAGACCACACATTTAATATTACTTATGCAAAGTATGAATTATGTCAAACTTACATAGATTATAAACTCTTGAATGGGACTTGGGCAGATGTACGATTTAGGCCATTATACGATTTATACAGATCAGACTGCTGCAAGTTTTACTGTATAAACGCACACAGCAGCCATTTGAACAGCAAGTTCCCACAAACTATCAGGAGGTGGATAACCTATTAATCTAAACATCCTGTGACAATATGAAACAAATCTCTTTCTTTCTCCTTCTCCCATTCTTTTTCAAATACCGAATTAGAATCTATAGCTAGAGTAGGGTTATGTTTTTTTCAAAAGTAAATATAAGTACAAGTATGCATTGAGAATAAGCAAGCCAGAGACTGGGGAGAGTGCAAGGCACTGCATTATCAGAGATCCCAGCCTTCAGATAAGACAATAGACCGAGCTTGTGTCCGCCTATCTTCAAGTGATTGTTAAAGATCTTGTGACAATATTGGATCAGAGACGGGAATTTCTCTTGGTTTCCTGTCCAGCAGTCCTCCAGACAAATCAGTCATTCACTTCATGGTTATTGGTAGGAACTTGCTGTTTGCAAAATGGCTGTCATATTTGCCTTAAGTGAAAGTTACATGGTAATATCACTTGATCTAAATCAAGGGTGTGTTATTAAGCTTTTTTTGTTTGTTTATCCAGACACTTATAAATCCACCACCGTAAACCACACCCTGTCCCATTCCCAGTGTCCTTTTGTACTTCTTGCCTCTCTTCTTATTGGCCTTTCATTAATTGTCAATTTGCTCTTAAAGGAGTATTCAACATAAAGCGCTCTGCGAAGTTTCAAAGTGATAAAGTGGTATAAAAATGCTCTTCTTTCCAACTTCTTCAGTTATCTGGTTTGTGGTATTTCAACCCCCTCCTTGTCCTTTCAGTAAAGGAGAACAATTTACTGACTGCAGAAACAGCTGCTGCAGACGCTATCTGTTCCACTTTGCCAGGAACAGGCTGCTTATTGCATTATTACGCACACCACAGTGCATTCAAACTCTCTAGAGCCTAAAGATTAATAGTGACTGTTTTGCACAAACGCCTCCTCCTATTCACTATCCTCCAAAATGCCATGACAGAATAAGCGGAGATGGTGGAACGTCAAAGGCTTTTGGGGTAGGGCTCCCTAGAGGCCTCCTCCTGACGTGAAAGGCGCTATACAAATGTAATTTTGTTGTTGTAGGATGACTGAGTTGTTAATGTCATTGTATAGTGGTGAGACTGGGCCTTGCATACCACCGCATGGTCACATTGGTGGAGTCCCCTGGGGTAGTGGTTTGAGCACTCACCTCGCAAATGAGCTGACCCAGGTTTGACTTTCACGCAGGGCAAAACCTTAGACAAGTTTCCTTACTCCACAAGCCTCTGTTTACCTAGCAGTACGTAGGAACCCAGTTGTTAGTCGATTGGTGGATCACTTTCTGGGGGTAATAATTCCTCAAAAAAGTGCACAGTATATTACAGTATATTCTGTGAAGCGCTTTGAGACATCTCGCTATATCAAATGCAAATCAAAAAGATTATTATTATGAGAAGAGAAGGGGAGATCTTAGTGAAAATTCAAGATCCTAAAAGGAATCCATAGACTGAACTCTAATACAGTAGAACCTAGTTGTGAGGTAGGTGCTTATGAACCTATTGGTTTTGCTTTGCAGACCAGAGGACTTCCTGGTTTCTCTTGCTTGCTCTCTGCAGTGCATAGAAAGTGGCAACCTGGAAGTGCGCAGTGCACAGGATTTGGCCTCCCCTTTCTCCTCGGCTCAGCATCAAACTACTGTATGCCATTGTTCAGCGCTCCGAGATGTTGCCCTGCGTGAATACATGTTGTTGAAGCGACAGAGGTGACCATTTTTCAGGAAATAGCATCAGCTGTGCTTCTTGAGGAGCTCCCAGGAAGTGGCGTGTTGACTTTTTGACCATTTGACTTTTGCCTTGTTCTAACACGATGTTTGAACCGGAAACAGCACATTAACATAGCTAATAACAACAACAACAAAATTACATTCGTAAAACGCCTTTCATGTCGGGAGGACGTCCCAACATAGTTCAGTAATATGTTTAACATCCTCATAACCTCTGCACTGTGTGGGGGCGCTGTGTTCAGACGAGGGAGGCTATTCAGATTGAGTTTCTTTCCACAGCAATCTGAGTCTGTGTTGAACGGATGACTCCAAGAGAGACAGGGAAGCAGCTTGAGTAGACATTCAGGAGGGAATTAGACAGCTATTTGGCGAATAAATCGATTGAGGGGTCCGTGAGATAGAACAGTGTAGGTTTTTTTTTACTTTGGGACTGGCCAGATGGACTGCAATTGTTTTTTCCGGTGCTGTACATTCCTGCGTTCTATTCCCAGTCTGTGAACAGTTAGTTGATTTCAGCTGGGGAACCACAATTCTCTTCAGCTAGAGAGAGGAGGGGGGAAGAGAATCATTTCCCCACTCCATTCGCTATCCAGTGTCCCTCTCCTGGAAAGTGCTTATATGTGAGGACATTGTCAGGCTTGGCTGTGAGGTTTTCTTTGCTCTCTTGCTTGTTCTCTCTCTCTGTGTCTATCTATCACTCTCTCTCTCTCTTACCCTCTTATCCTTCCTCCTTTATTCTCCCCCTACACCCCCAGCTCTCTTTCTTTCTCCTCTTTCTCTGTCTTGAATTCAACAGATTTTGATTTTAAGCCCATTCGCTGACCACTCTGAAGTTTCATTATCTCGGTGATAATTCAGGGACAGAGTATGATTAGGAATAATCATCATAAAGCATTTTATTCCCTCAATACTGTATTTTTTTATTATGTTTAATAATAGCCGTAACCTGTGGGCTGGAGTCAGCTCTGTTACAACATTGCTGTACATGTACAAGGAACATAGGATACTAGTACATAGTAGCTGAGTAGCAGTACACGCAGCTATCACTCGTCTGATTTTACTACTGCGTCAGTGGCAAGAATAAATGTTTGAAATTCAACTGGATGGCTTTCAAGGTAGCGTTGTAAAAACAAGTAGTGTTTTACAATGAAATGTGGTTCTTCCATTCAATGAGCTTTCTCCTCTCCCAAAGGCGATTGACTTTTTGTTTAATGACGCCCTCCAATAACCTGCCCAAGTGGCCATTTTTTACGTGTTGAGCTTTGCTGCTGAGATTTAGCTTACTTGGAACTTGTATAGTCAAGGCTGACACTGCAGTGCAGTGGGTGGGGGGTGTCTGTTGTATTGTTAGAGGTGTTGACCTTCAGATGAGAAGCTAAACTGAGGTCCCTCTACCTATTCAGGTGGACGTTAAATATACAAATATACCGTGGCACTATTCATAGGAACAGGGGTAGGCCATTGAGCCCGGGAGCCTGTTCTCCCTTTTAATTAGATCATGGCTGATCTATATCTTTACTAGAATTTCAAATCCAATTTCCCACTTTCTCCCCTATCCCCTAATACCCTGACCTACCAAAAATCTGTCAATCTCTTTCTTGAAGATGTGGATGGATCCAGCATCCACAACCTTTTGGGAGACAGAGTTCCAGATTTCCACCACCCTTTGAGTGAAAAAATGCTTCCTAATTTCACTCTTAAATCGTCTGGTTCTCATTTTAAGACTATGCCCACTTGTTTTACATTCCCCCAACATAGGAAATAGCTTTTCTGCATCTACCCTATCAAATCCCTTTATCAGAGTAAAAAACCTCTATCAAATCACCCCTCAATCTTCTAAACGCAAGGGAATCCAATCCAACTTTACACAGCCTTTCCTCGTAACTTAACCCTTTTGGCCTGGAAACATTCTGGTGAACCTGTGCTGCACCCCCTCCAAGGCCAATATATCTTTCCCGTGGTGTGGTGCCCAAAATTGAACGCAGTACTCCAGGTGGGGGTCTGACTAACGCTCGAAAGTAATGAGAGTTTCTCCTTGTATCCTGGCCAACTGTACCCAAATGCAACAGGTCGTTCACTCCATGGCTGTTTGTGGGACATTGCTGTGTGCAAGTTGTTTACCATGTTCCCCCACAAAAACACACAGATTGACTACACTTTAAAGTATATCCTGTGAAGTGCTTTGGGACATACACCAAATGTTAAGATTATTACTATTATTATTCAACCAGAGCTGGGGGAGGAGGGATTCTGGCCAAAATTCCCATCCTTTTCCATCTGGCGCACACCGGCAGCTTTCCATGAAGGGAAGGAGATCCCTCTTCAGGCTATCGCTGGGTTCCACTCCCTGATTTTTTGATCCTCAGAGTTTGGTTAAAACAACAACAATAACAAGATTACATTTGTATAGCGCCTTTCACGTCAGGAGGATGTCCCAAGGCACTGGGACGCCTTGGGAAAGTAATGTGTTTCAGTAAGAATGTTTCAGTGCAGGATGGATTAGTTTAGAACATGGACCATGAGACAGGTTACGGTGGGACAGGATGTTACTAAAGAATGATTCTCCTTTTCAGTAATTGGAAATGTGAGTATCAAATTCCAGAGCCGGGCACTCCACTGTGCAGTGCAGCCTCAAGCTCCTACTGTGGTGAGATCATCTTTCACCTGCAAGTGAGAATTTGGCTCTTGTGTTTCATTCAGAACACTGCTTTCCTTTTGAGCTCTGCCTTTGGGGTTACTGTAGCTCAGCCAGCCAGCCCCCTTTGATACACAGTTAGGAAGAAAGAACTTGCATTTCTATAGCTCCTTGTTACATTTTTTTGGTCAGCTGGGCATCTGACACATGTGGAAACGCATCACCGTGCTTAAGAGTATCTGAACCAGACAGAGTTCCATGTACGCCTAGACGTGGAAATTCCCGTGTTTGGAATGGGATACATACTGATTACCTAATTCCAGGAAGTATTAGGTAGAGAGGTTGGAAGCGCCAAGGCTTGGGTGCCTCAAAGTGAGTGTTGGTGTAACTGCTGGAATCTAACAGCTATAAACGCATAGGTTACCATTGAAAGCACTATCTGGCAAGCTTTCCACAGCTTGTGCAGTCAGGATCACCATACCTATTAGGGCTTTGGCTTGCAGGGTTCATGGGAGCTGAGTAGAAAGAATCTAAGTTGCATTAAAAATCTCCCAAACTTTACAATATTTGTTGTTAACAGCAGTGTCTGTTTTTTGTAGGACAAACGTGTGTGAATCTTTAACGTCCACCTAAACAGTCAGCCTGGACCTCAGTTTAACGTTTCATTGGACAGTGGCGCATTACAGGGCTCCTTGAGTTCTGCGCTGGGGTGTCAGGTCCTTCAACCCGTAACCTTCTGACCCAGAGGCAAAAGGGCTACTGATTTGAGCCAGCCTCTGCCGGATGAACATCTCGAAGCACTTCACAGTGACAATAGGGATCGCTGATCAGGGAGGAAAGGTGGGGATGTTAAGCAAAGGCGACATCAAAAAGTGGATTTGAAGATAAGGAGAGAGAGGGAGGGAGGCTGTACAGTGAACGGATTTGGGGAGAGAGCTTCAGAATGTTAATTGCCCAAACAAGGGAAGTTATTTTGTGCTATGCCAAATTAACTTCAAATCCTTTTGTCAGACAAAAATCGCCACATGGTCAAATGCGAGAAGAATGTATTACAAATACATTGCTCTGGCTGTTTCAATGTGGTTCTCACATGGAGCTGCAGCCAAGCAATTGTTATGTGGATTATCACAGTAAATGTAGGAAAAGGCACCTGTCTTTTCTCTTTTCTTCTTCTACCCCCTCCCCTCCTACCACCCCCCCCCACCCCTGGGTCCTGACCTTGCACTGTGGACCTACCATTTGCTGAAGCAGCTGTCCACGACAAGCCGGGTCTTTTGTGAGCTTAAGCCCTGGATGAGCTCAGCTGCCTCCACCAGTTTTTTTTAAAAAAAGCCTGGACCCTCTGGGTAACCTGACCGAGCACGAGTGGGATCCAACTCACGCCTGTCATTCAGACTGCAGCTTGCTTTGCGTTTCCTAAGGTCAGCCTTAGGCTTTTTTCATTCTCTTCCACCCCTTCGAGTGTCTCATTGAGACTGGGGTGGGTTATACCGGCCTCCGCTGGGAGTGAGAAGGGCTTCCTTCTTTATCCTTCTTTCTGTGCTTCTTGGATCGTGGACTGGTGTAGAAATAAGGTAAGATTTGGGGTAAATGCCTGCGGGAACGTCAGTGACGTTCCCCCTGCAATAAGCAAAGCGTTCAGAAGTGGTGAGAAGCTCCAGTTAACTAGACCCTGGAGTTCAGCAGTAACTGACGAGGAGTGCAACAGAGAGTGTGATGGAGTCTGGATTGAGCAATCAACACTAGGCATATCCCAACACAAATTATCTTCTCAAAGCATTTGAGTGGATATTTATTTGACTCAGTTCAAGAAATTTTGAATCAAAAGGCATCAGTTTGAGTACGCGGTGGGATTTGGAGTGTGCAGGTAGTTGCGTGGGGGGCGATAGTGTATTCCATAAATGCACACTGCCAACTGGAGGAATACTTTACCCCCACAATAGCATCGAGGATGAGAATCAGGAGAATCCTTCCCCCACCCCCGAGGATCGCCTTTCCTTCTCTGTTGATTTAAGTTTTTTTTAAAAAAGGCCATAAGATGGCTTAGGATCCGTTTCCCGAGAGCATTTTCCTTGGATTGTGCTTTGAGACGTCTCAAAGAGTTCACAAGATATAATGTAAAGTGGATTGACTATATTTTGTGGGCAAATATTTTTAATGAAAAATTATTCAAGTTTCTGTAGCCCATGTTCCCCAGTGAGAGAACTTGTGTTTAGGTTGGAAGAGGGTAGGAAGGGCTCCTGGATGCTGTAAATTTGCTTGAGGGATTTTAGTGCACTGAATATAAACATTTGGATGTGCTAGCTCTTTTCTGCATTGTTAAGTCTATTTATCGTCCTCTGGCTGCCTGCACTACCTGTGCGTAATTGGCTGCTGCATTTTGCCTACAAAATACACAGTCCATTTACTTTACAGTATATTCTGTGAAGCGCATTGAGACATCTCGCTATATCAAATGCAAATCAAAAAGATTATTATTATGAGAAGAGAAGGGGAAATCTTAGTGAAAATTCAAGATCCTAAAAGGAATCCATAGATGAACCCAGTTGTGAGGTAGGTGCTTATGAACCTATTGGTTTTGCTTTGCAGACCAGAGGATGTGATAAGGTGCTATATCAAATACAAGTATTATTATTATGTTTTAACGCTGTACCTTACACAAAGGTGTCAAGGTTGTCTGTGCTTTGATTGCAGGTGGGGCGTGGGGGGACAGGGCCCAGGAGAAACTGGAGGAACGGCAAGCATGGTGAAAGGAACTTCGAGAATGGTGATGAACACCGGAAGTGGTGAACCGGCACTCCAGAGCAATGGCTGTGTCGCTTCTGGGCATAGTTGTGGGGGAGCGCCCAGCTCCCAGCAGCTATCTGGACCTGAGCTGGTGGCACGGACTAAAGGGAGAGAGAACGGCAGCAGACTCCCGAACGGAAGCACTAAACCACTAACCCTTTATCCAGATAACGTGGGCAACAGCCAAAGACCGCCAGTGCCATGCTGTCACCATTGCCTGTACCACCATCTGTGCTGCCAAAGCAACCAGCAGGACCCCCGTCCACTCGGAGGCCCTGTGGTGACCACGCCACCAGCTGCCTGCTGTGTGCAGACACACCCTGAATACCCTGCACCTCTGTGCCAGAACCATTCCTCTATCCACACAGCTACCTGCTGTCCGCATCTGACCACCTCCCTCGCTGACCATCCAACGCTACATCTTCACCGATGGCCTGACCACTTCCAGCATCAGCCCCCGCAGCAGCAACAGGGAACCAACATCAGGTATTTTTACATTAAATGCACTTTTACATGTATAGTGAATCAAAGACTGTGGGTGGGTGGGAGGGGTGGGTGGGGGGTGTGGGTTGGGGGTTGCGGTGGGGCTGGGGGGATATGCGTGGTGGTGAGGGTGGTGGGCTGTGAGGGAGGTAATAACCCCTTCAAAAATTAACTAATTTGGTCACTCAATCCACGACTGTTTGTGGGACACTGAATTTCATATTAAATCTTACATTGGAAGGATGCTTCGAAGTGCTTCACAGAATATACTATGTAAACTATAGTAACTGTATTTTGTAGGTGAATTAAAACACTGGGTCTCAAATTACCAAAGCAAGAACTTGTTCACCTCCAGGAGCTCTCTCCCCCCCCACCCCTCCCATCTTCCCTGGTCTGCACAGACCTGTGAAGTTCCTTCTCAGGTCCTGTTCTGACTGGCGCTGAAGGAAGGCAGAGTTGTTCACAGCAGGGTGTGGTATTTTACGTGACTCTGATTCAGGAAGCAAAGGAAAGACGCGTGGACTGTTCCTCCCTCGTGGCACACACAGTCAGCTTTGCTTCCAGCTCCAACCAGGAGATATCCTGCACGGGTTAACCCTGCACATCTTTATGTACACTGGGGAGAGAATTTTTATTTTGCACAGAGGGGAAATTCCACTTGTAGTTAGTGGGTAACTCTCCCAACAAGAATCATAAAACTTGTTGTACAGACTATACTATAAGTTTGTATGGTACAAACTTCTAATATAGTACAATAAATACATTTGGTCACTCAATCCACAACTGTTTGTGGGACACACCTGTGCGCAATTGGCTGCCGTGTTTCGCTCACAAAATATACAGTCAGTCCACTTTACAATATGTGAAGTGCTTTGAGACGTCTCAACGAAGTTGATAAGGAGCTTTATCAAATACAAGGATTATGATTATTACAGACAGAAGCCATAGAGCTTGTCATACCTGGGTCAGCTTTCTGTAAGAGCCTCTCTACTCGCTGTCCTTTTTCCCCCCCACACTTTTTTTATATTTGAACAATTCCCTGTTTAAAGTTATTATGGATTCTGTATCAATTTTTTTTTTTGTCAGGTCCTAATAACCCACCATATAGAAAAAAATCAGAATTTCTCCCTTCACTTTTTTGATAATGATCTTAAATTGTTGCCTTTCGGTCACAAGTGGTAATCATTTCTCCCTTTCGAGAATGTCTCTGTATTCTCTGCTATACATTCCTTGCCCCTATTCCTCACTGTCGATGGCTGAGCCTTCAGCTACTGTGCTTCTACCCTTTGGAATACCCTTCCTAAATTCTTCCACCTTACTCCCACCACCTCCCATCAGTCTTTAAAAGCTTCCTAAAAAACTAGTTCTTTCAACTTTGGCAACCATCTCTCTTCCTCATTCTCCTTGCTCAGTGTCTAAATCACTTTGATATGTTCCCTATGTAAAATTCATTACTGTGTATAAATACTTCCCTCAACTGGCCTGCTTCATGTCCACTGGCCTACAAGCTCCACTATCGGTGGACAGGCCTTCAGCTTTTCCACCCCCACCTTCTAGAGCTCCCCGCTTCCATCTCTCCCTTGCCTCCTTCAAGGCCTGTCTCAAGACTTTCGTTGATCGTGTTTTGGCCACACTCCCACCCCTCCTACCCGCCACCATTTTTGATTGGAACCTCCAGTTTAGCGAAAATCCCTAAACTCTAGCACTGTGGGATGTCTTTCGAAATGAAAGGCGCAATATAAATGTAATTTTGTTGTTTTTGTTGCTTGTCGTTGTAGACCTCATTGCTGGCATAGATTAGCATTTCCTGATGTAGATCACTACTCTTCAAAGTAACATTCAAGCCATTCAGACATTCTAGCTGGTGACTGCTGTAGGCAAAAATGACAGCCATTTTTGGCATTAGAAAGATCCCATAAACAGCCACAAGATTAATGGTCGATTTAATTGTGAAGATTGTTGGCTCGTGCACTGGGAGAAACTGCCTTCTCTTTTTAACAGGAACGGGTAAACTAAACTATGTTAAACGTGGAGTGTCAGCCTAGACTGTGAGCTCCAATCCTGGAGTAGGGGCTTAAACTCGCAGACTTCTGCTACAAAGGCATCAAGTATTTATTTTAAAAAAAACATAGAGAAACCCCAACTGGTATGAACATCTGATGTGCGTTTCACCGATCCGTCCCCTCTGCTTCCTGTGCAGCTAAAGTCACTAAGTTGCTGTTTTTTCATCCGCTCCACCTGTCCCGAGCGAAACTGGACCCGATCCATCATCAGCCGCTCTGCGGAGGCAATTACTGCCCTGCGCTAATGGCCTGAATGTTAAAACGTTCAAGCTGCCAGGACAGTAATATGCTGTGCCCCGGCGGAAAGACCTGATCTCTTAACCTTTTCACACTGTTGTTGTGACTGACTGCCAGGGCTGGATGGTATTTGAACATGCATTTCCCATGCCCTCTGTGCCTCAGCTCAGCCACACTCAGAATAGCTGGACTTGTCTGTGTGCTTGAATACAGCTGTCCCATATCTTTGGAACAGGGATTGGCATCTGATTTCCACTGTTAGTGGGAGCACTGGCCCTTTCTCTACTGGTCATAAGTACTCTCAGCTCATATTAATAAATAATAACTTATATTTGACAATGGTTCTTAGGCAAGTTTCCTTGCTCTACCCTAGCAGTAAGTAGGTACCTGGTTAGTCAATTGGCTGATCGCTTTTCTGAGGCTAATTATCCCTCTGCAAAAGCAAAAATTATAATAATTTGGTCATTCAATCCACGGCTGTTTGTGGGACACTGCTTTGCGCAATTGGCTGCTGCATTTCGCCCACAAATATACTGTCAATTCATTTTACAGTTATTCTGAAGCGCTTTGAAATGTCCTAAAAACGTGATAAGAAGCTATATCAAATGCAAATATTATTACTTATGATATAATATTAAACCGTCTAGATGAGCTTCAATGTTACAGCATGAAAACGGGCCATTTAGCTCAACTAGTCCGTGCTGGTGTTTATACGCCATACAAGCTTCCAACCTTCCTGATCCTCTCCCCTACACTCCTCTATTTTCTTCCTTACATATGCATAATTTCCTCTTAAATAGTGTTAAACATATTGACTGCAAACACAGCAGCCAATTTGTATACAGTAATAACCAAAGGAGAATGACAATTTTTTTCTGTTGGCCAGGACACCAGGAGAAACTCCTTTCTCTTTTCCAATAGTGTTATGGGATCTTTAATGTCGGCAGACAGGACCCTAATTTAACATCTCATCCAAAGGACGACACCTCTGACAATGTGGTATTGACACCGTGGCACCTCTTTTCCCCGCCCCACCCCCGTTACTGCACTGGTGTGTTAACATTTTATAAAAATTATTAATCCTTGCATTTGATATAGCACTTTATCATGCCGTTGAGACTTCAGAGTGCTTCACAGAATACACTGAAGTGAATTGACTATTTTGTGGGCGAAATGCTGGAGCCAGTTACGCACAGCAGTGTTCCACAACCAGTCATGGATTGAGTGAACAAATTATTATTTTTATTTATTTTGGGGGAGGAATTATTACCCCCAATTATTACCCCCCAAAAGCAATTCCCCAATTGACTAACAACTGGGTTCCTATTTAATAATAGGCAGACCGAGGCATCTGGCGTAAAGAAACTTGTCTAAGGTTTCACCCCGCCTGGGAATCAAACCCAGGTCTTCTCGTTTGCAAGTCAAGCACGCTAACTACTAAAAGTGCAGGACTCCACAAGTCCCCTTTAAGTAGCAGGAGGGTGAGGGCAGGCAGAATAGCAGTCACCGAGGATCATGTTAATCTGAATAGAATGTGATCTTTCCCTGTTTACACTCACCTTTGCCCTCCCCCTTTTCATGTGGCAGATGGCATTGATTCCCAGACTGACTAACACATGTGTTGTGCTCTCTCCTCCCTCTCCTGGATGGAGTTACGAAAAAAACAGGGATGTTGCCCCAACTCTTCACAGCATCTGGGGCCAAAAGTTTCCACCTGAATTTAGATTTGGACAGTTTCAGAGGAAATTCTTCAATTAAGACTTCATTTGGAAACTTTTTTTAAAAAAAACACGCGGGAAGCTGGCGTCAAAATTAAGCCTGGATTTAAGAATTTTCTGAAATTTGCATGCTATAAAAAGCTACGAAAATGGTCAAGTGTAGAACTGAACAGAGTTTCTGGCTCCTGTTATTTAAATCCTATCACTGTTTCACAGGCAGCCAATTGCACACAGCTTTGCAACTGCTCTCAGATATCCATTATTCCCTGTGTAAACGACCAGTTACCATTGAGCAGATTCACCATTAAGTCTTTCAATATTTTCCAGTGGAAGAGAGCACTGGGTCTTGGTTCTCTTTGTACAATGCTTTCCCATTTGGAGATTTTTTGAAAAAGGTTTTAACATTGGCACTGTCTCCCTCTGTCTCCTTGTCCTCCTGGACCTCTCCGCCGGGTTCGACACAGTCGATCACGCCATCCTCCTCCACCACCTTTCCTCCGTCATCCACCTCAGTGGGACTGCACTCGCCTGGTTTGAGTTCTACCTCACAAACCGCCAGCAGTACATCTGCACAAACGGCTTCTCCTTCCGCTCACACCCGGTTACCTGCGGGGTACACCAAGGATCCATCCTTGACCCCCTTCTCTTTCTGATCTACATGCTCCCTCTTGGGGATGTCATCCGCAGACATGGGGTACGTTTCCACATGCACGCGGACATCACCCAACTCTTATTTTTCCACCTCTCTTTGCGACCCCCAGTCCCCTGATGTTCTGTCAGCCTGCCTGTCAGATCTCAGGGGCTGGATGAGTGCAAATTTCCTTCAGCTGAACGTTGACGAGACGGAGGCCATACTCTTTGGCTCTCGTCAACGTCTAAAATCCCATGGCTCTCACCTCCTCCACCTACCCGACCTCCCCCTAAAACTCTCCGAACCCGTACGCAACCTAGGCGTCAGCTTTGACCCCAAATTATCCTTCCTCCC